GACAATGCACAGTCACTAAAACACAGGTAGACATCTTTCTAGTATTCTTTGCTTTCAGCTAAGATCCACCTGACATCAGCAATAATATCCCTCATTCCAAGCCTTCTTCTGAGTCTGACTTGAATTTCTGGCATTTCCCTATTGATATATTACTGCAACTATTTTTTTTTTTTTAATTTTTATTGTGATTTGGGTGAAAGTTTACAGAGAAAATTCCTTTTCCATACAGCAGCTCACATACACTTTGTCTCATGACATTGACTCCAATTTCCCACAATGCAAGAGCTCCCATCTCACTTCCTCTCCATAGTTACCTCTTTCCTTTGTTCTTCTCTCTCATGCACTCCTGCCCCCTGAGCTGTCTCCCCGTGCATACACAGCCCTTCTACTCTCCCATGATTGATGTCTCCAAGGAGTGTATCTACCTAATGTAAAGGTTCAGCTCATGTGCCTGTCTTTTGTTTGGCTGGAAGCCACAGAAGTGGGTTTAATTCCAGACTGAAGGGCATCTAGGGGCCATAGTCTCAGTGGTTCCACCAGGCTCTATCAGACAAGCCCTTTGAAATCTGTTCAGCTCTTTTATTTCATCATTTCTTCCATTTGCTTTAGGTACTCTGTTCAAGAGCAAGTTTTAGAGTCTCTTCTGACATCCATTTTGGTCTTTTCTTCCTTTCCTGTCTTTTGCTTTCTTCATGTATGATATTCTTGATGTCATCCCACAACTCATTTGGTCTTTGGTCACTGGTGTTCAATGTGTCAAATCTATTCTTTGGATGACTTCTAAATTCAGGTTGGATATAATCAAGGTCATCTTTTGGCTCTTGTGGATTTAATTTTATTCATTTTCAACTTGAACTTGCATATGAACAACTGATGGTCTGTTCCACAGTCACCTCCTGGCCTTGTTCTGACTAATGATACTGAGTTTCTCCATCACCTCTTTCCACAAATGTAGTGTGTTAGACTGGGTTCTCTAGAGAAGCAAAACCAGTAAAGCTTTTATATAGAGAGAGAGAAATTTATCTTAGGAAAATGGCTCACACAGTTATAGAAGCTGGCAAGTCCCAAGTTCTTGGATCAAATGTCAAGCTGGAGGCTTTTCCCAACTCACACAACTGCAGGGGCTGACAAGCTCAAGGTTGGCAGGCAGTATACTGGCTGTTGACTCCAGTGAATGACGAATCCAAGATCTTTAGGCCAAATGGTGGATTGTTTGCTCATGGACAGTTGTAGGCAGCACAATAGGATCCCGATCCACAGAAGAAGAATCTCTTTTCCCAGGTTGTCCATAAATATACTGGAAGAAGGCCACACCCCTAGGGAAACTCCCTTTCAATGGATTGACTGCTCAAAACATATATATCTGATCCCATCTTGGGAACAATCCACATCACAATTGCTTAAACCACACAGAATTGTGGTCCGCCAAGTTGATACACAGCTCCAACTAGCACAATCCATCCCTTGTCAACTTGGCAGTTGTACACATCTTCTTAACTGTATATAATCTCTAAATAAGGACAATTATAAAGTCCTATTTGTGCCTAACATGATACACTAACACACGTACAACCAAAACACATTAACCTTATTTACATTTCACAGTTCATAACAGAAAGAAACAAAAATATTTGATGCACATATACAATGAAGAAATATAACAATCACAGTCCTTGTTTCTGCAACTGGTCATGCTGTCATAGCTGATATTCAGAACTACCTTCTTCCACCACTTTGTCTAGTGTAAGTAGGACCAACCAACCAGCTTCCTTATACTCCTCATGCTGAAAAAACTGCAGAAAAGTATCAAATATGCAATCACCCAGAGCCTCACTTCTCAAAAGTACTTGATCTATTGGTGGTGCTATTTTGCATATTAACGTTGCCACCTCATGCCACGGATTAGCAGGGCCCTCTTTACTAATGGAGGCAGGGTCACCAGTGCCTTTATGGTTAATCAAATTGGAGAAGCAATTTAGGAAGCCCATCCTTACAATTTTGTCTCTCTAGAACCACTCCCGGTAACAAATATGTTAGACTGGGTTCTGTAAAGAAGCAAAATCAGTAAAGCTTATATACATAGAGAGAGAGAAATTTATCTTAGGCAAATGTCTCACATACTTCTAGAAGCTGGCAAGTCCCTAGTTCTTGGATCAAATGCCAAGCTGGAGGCTTTTCCTGACTCATGCAGCTGCAGGGGCTGACAAGCTCAAGACTGGCAGGCAGTGTACCAGCTGCTGACTCCACTGAATAACAAATCCATGATCTCCAGGCCAAATGGTAGATTGCTCACTCACAGATAGTTGTAGGCAGCACAACAGCATCCCGATCCATAGAAAAAGAGTCTCTTTTCCCAGGATGTCCATAAATATACTGGAAGCAGGCCACACCCCTAGGGAAACTCCCTTTCAGTGGATTGGCTGCTCAAAACATATACATTTGATCCCATCATGAAAACACCCACATCACAATTGCTTAAACCACACAAAATTGTGGTCCAGCCAAGTTGACACATAGCTCCAATTATTGCATGTAGCCAATCTGATTCCTGTTTATTCCATCTGGCAAGGTCTTTGCAATGAATAAGTCACTGTTCTTGGAAAATTCTGTCATGTGGTCTCCAACATCATTTCTTTCACTGAGGCCATATTTTCCTACTACTGATGATTCTTCTTTGTTTCCAACTTTGTATTCCAATCACCAATCACTTCAGACCACCAAAGTCAGTAAAAATCTTCAATTTTTTCATCTTTGGATTTAGTAGTTGTTCATAAAACTGAATAATAGTAGTATTAAGTGGTCTTCCTCATAGGTGTATGTATATTATCCTATCACCAACAACATTATACTTCAGGATATATCTTGAAATGTTCTTTTCTGATGATGAATGTGACACAATTCCTATTCAATTTGTCATTCCTGGCATAGTAGACCATATGAATGTCTGATTCAAAATGGGCACCAGCTGTCTTTCAATTTGTCATACTGTGCTGGTTTGCTTGCTAATGTGATGCTAGAAGATTTGCCAGTAGTATTTCAAATACCAGTAGGGTCACCACAGTGGGTAGATTCTGCAGAGCTACCAGACTAAGGCAGACTGGGAAGAACAATGTGGTCATCCACTTTTGAAAAAATTGGCCACTGAAAACCTAATGAATAGCAGTGAAACACTGATTTATTACTGTAAAACTTTATGAATAGTGAAACATTGTCTGATATAATGCCAGAAGATGAGCCGCTCAGGTTGGAAGGTACTCAAAAATCAACTGGGGAAGAGGTCCCTCCTCAAATTAGAGTTGACCTTAATGATGTAGATGGAGTAAAGCTTACAGAACCTCCATTTGCTGATGTGTCACAACTCAAAATAAAAAGAAACAGCTGCAATCATTCATTAATAATTAGAGAGTGAAATGTACACAGTATGAATATAGGAATATTGGAAGTTTTCATAAATGATAGGGAATGCAGAAAGATCAATACCTTAGGCATTAGTAAGCTGAAATGGTACTGGCCATTTTAATTTTGGATCAGAATTAGGCATTCAAAAGATGCAAATAAAAACAACAATGATATATCATCTCACCCCAGCACTAATTATAACATTCAAAAAAATAGAAAACAACAAATGCTGATGAGAGTGTAGAGAGACTAGAACTCTCATACACAGCTGGTGGGACTGCAAAATGGTGCAACCAGTGTGGAAAACAGCATGGCGTTTCCTTAAAAGTCAGGAAATAGAAATACTGTATGATCTATCAATCAGACTAGAAGATATATATCCTAAAGAAATAAAGAGCTGTGATGCAAACAGATATATGCAAACTCATGTTCACTGCAGCACTATTCCGTATACCCAAAAAGATGGAAACATCAATGGAAGAATGTCCATCAATGGAAGAATGAATTGACAAACTATGATACATACACATAATGGAATACTCCACAATCTTAGAAAACAATGATGGATCTGGGAAACATCTCAAAACAGAGAAAAACTTAGAGGCCACTATACTGAATGAAATTAGTCAATCACAAAATGACAAATATTATGTGAGACCACTATTGTAAAAAGTCAAGAGAAGTGTTTCACACAAAAGAAATATTCTTTGATAGTTACCAACGGTGAGTGGGGAAGGGAGGGCAAACCAGTAACTAGAAGGTAGACACATATTAACTTGGGTGAACAGTAAAGTTAAAAAAAAACAGGAAACTTGTCAACAAAAGATCCATAAGTAGAGAAGAGCAATAGAAGACAGTCTAAATAATGATACATTAATACAATGCTCAATGTATTAGAACTGTGACCTAATACAAACATGTGACTTAAACCTCTCTGTGGATTAATTCCCTCATCTGTGAAATGGGAACAATAACAGTACATACCTCAAGGTATTGTAATGATTAAATTAATATTGAGCAAATTAACAATAATAATAAAAGAACACTGGAGAGGTAACTTACTGCAGAGGACAGAGGTTGTTCTCATCAAATTGTAATAGTTTACTCACTTTCAAAGACGAAACATTGTTCTGAAGATCAACATAAAATAAAGGAGGCTTTTAAGTACAAGGCCTCACAAAACAAATATATAGAGAGTAACTTAATACACAAAAATATTTTCAGATATTCATGAATGTGAATTATTTTGTGCACATATATCATATTATATGCCATCCCTATGCTGTACAAGCTCCAGATTTCATTAGGTGGCTTTAACCAGGAAATCTTCTCATTAAGTAGTCACTACTGTGCCCAAAATTTCAATGCTGAAAATAAAATGAATGTTAATCAACAAGCATAAACCTTTTGTAATAAAAGCACAAAAAGAGTTTCCTCCTCGCAGCTCACCTTTATTTCTAAATAAAGCTTAAATATTCACTTTAAATAATCTAGTTGCCAAAGCACAAATTCGAAAGATTACAGCATTCAAAGGATACTTTTGGAGAATGAGCTAGTAGATTTAAAGGATGCATGGATTATGGTAACTGCCCCTTCCCTACCTTTTCCAATGCCCTGTCTTGCACAGGTGTCCCTGTACTTGGCAAGGAGGGAGGAGGAGGAGCTCGACGCTTCTTCATCTCTGACTTCACAGACACCCCTGAGATGTTGCTGAGCGAGAGGGATGGACCCAGCATAATGGAACGTGAATTCACAGATGGGGAGTTTGGCGTTGTCAGACAGCCCTGTTGCAGGGAAGAGAAAAACATACATTCTCATTGATACGAGAAAGCTATTTCTCTTTGGATTAATGTTCAAACATGAAAACAAAGTACCAAATCACCCCTTCAACATTTAATATCACCACTTCCTATCAGCTGGTTTGAATAACTTGAGCAAAACCCAAATTATCATTTTCTGGGGAATATTACAGTAGATGATACATATAACAGACTGACATTTGAAGGTTTATTTTCTTAATCATGACAAATAAGCAGACTTTTTAAACCACTAAGAACACTGAGCAGCTAGAATCATTTAATATTCTGAACGTGCAATTATGAATTGACATCCTTACAACTTTACCCTTTTGTCAGAATGAGCTCTTGGATGCTGGAAAGAGCAAGGAGGACGTTTCTCATGTGGAAAGAAGATCAATAGTTTCTGTACTCCTCAGAAGTTCTTCATTTGCTTTCAGGATGAGACTTTTATAGGTTTATTGTCATTTTCAGAAATTATGAACAAACAACACACTGTGAATACTTTACATGGCCACTGAATATAGTAGTTAGTGATAAATATCTGACAATCTGAAAATAAATGCAATCCAGCACAATTGCTCCCAAGGGGAAATATCTATACTGAGTAGCAGGCTAAAAAGCACACCCACACACGCGCGCGCACACACACACACACACACACATTTTCTTCAATTTTCTTCTCCTAAAAAAGTCAGTTGCTGCCAATCAACCCCATGTGTGTCAGAGTAGAACTGTGCTCCATAGGGTTTTCAATGGCTAATTTTCCAGAAGTAAATTACTAGTCCTTTCTTCTGAGATGACTGTGGGTGGACTTGAACTTCAACCTTTTTATTAATAGGGGAGTGCATTAAGCATTTGTACCACCCAGGGTCTGGCTGAATGTTGTGTTACTGTTACATGCTGTTAAGTCAATTTTAACTCACAGAGAACCTACAGAACTGCCCCAGAGGGTTTCCAAGGCCACAGTCTTTACAGGAGCAGATCATCAGGTCTTTTCTCCTGCAGAACAGATGGTGGGTTTGAACCACCAATCTTTTGGTTAGCAGCCGAGCATTTAATTATTGAGCCATCAGGGCTCTTTGTTTAATAGATTCATGTAAATGTTAGTACAGAAAGGGTATTCAGAGACTAGCACTATAATTTGAATTTTTTTCAAAAAACAAATAGATCCATGCTCTTCTCTGGCAGTTCTTCCCCTCCCTTGCTGATTTACCTCCACAGCACTGTAATCCCACCTGGATACTTGGAGTCAGTGCAGCCTAGGGATTAAGCCCACAGATTCTAGAAACACTCTGTCATGGTTTAGTTCCTGGCTTTGTCTCTTACAAGCTGTATGACCTTGTTTCTTAATTTCTCTCTGCCTCAGTTTATCTCCTGTAAAACTGGGATAAATAAATATACCTATACCATAAACCTATCATATAAACAAAATGGGTTACTAGATGCAAAGAGTTTTCAACTGCTTTTGGCACAAAGAAAGCACCTAAAATGTGTCACCAATTGTGATTATTACATACCTGTATTTATTTACCATCTTTCTCTATGAGTTCTATGAGAACAGTGAGTATTTTCTGTGTGTATCCACTCTTACATTCCCAGCTCCTAGAAAATTTCCTGCCATACAGAAGACACTGGAACAAACATTTGCTGGAATGAATGAATACATGAGTGACCCTCTGGGTAATTCTGCTTTTGTGTTTTACATAATGGACTCCTGGGTAAAATCTTATCTGAAAGTTGCTTCTACATAATAAATAAATATGCAGAAGAAAATTATCATAGTAAGCAACAACCATGATTACTTGTGCTCAGATATCAATTCTATTATGTTCTGCCAATGATATATTATCATTCTGTTTCCTGAGAAAATAGTTTGAGACTCATATTTTCTTGTATTTAAGTATCAAAGCCAAAGGATAAAACAATCCACGAAAGATGCTTTGTATCTTAGCTCACGCTTCCTTGTGAGCAGGGTTTCGAACTGGTTTGAAATGGTTCTTCTGTCACGGCCAACAGAATCTCTTGCTTGGCAGATTTTTACCTGAGGAGGAAAGAGGCAGTGGTGCTACACTCAACAATGGCAGCTGACACACATTCAAAGAGGCATGGCTGGTTGCCTTCTTTGAGTGTGGTGGGCATCACTGCCTGCTTCCTACTTGGGTCAAAATCTCCCATGCAAGAAAGACTTGGTTGCTACACAACATGTATGCTGCCCTTGTTCCTATGGGCCATGACTGAACTTCTCTGAACTGGTGCACAGCCCTGAATATTAGATACCCAAAGCTTCAGCCATCAAATAAAGAGTTCCCATAGGAAAGAGGTGAAGGATCTGATTGGAAGGAATCTGATACCTAGAAAATTGTCAATGCCTATGGAGGCTCACATGAAAAACGTAAAACGTTCCTTACAACCCCTGAGTACTGCAGACAGAGTAGAGTTGGCCTTCTGAATCAGTGGGTTCCACATCTGTGGCTTCAACCAATTGTGGATCAAAAATATTCAGGGCAAAAAAGGGCTCCTAAAAAGCAATTAAGTAGTCAAAGCAATCCCTCAAAGGCTAAGAGGGAGCATAAAGTGCTATTTGCATAACATTTACATTGTATTTAGAGATGATTTAAAGTCCACAGAATGATTGTCATAGGTCATATGCAAATACTATGCCAGTTTACATAAGGGACTTGAACATCCACAGCTTTTGGTATCCATGAGATCCTGGAACCAATCCCCTGTGGATACTGAGGGACAACTGTACTTGTTACCAAGCCAATACACCAATGCAAAATTAACAATAGCATAAAGTTAGCAGACCTAATTATTTTTCTTTGCCTTACATCTACTTTCATAGAAACCATGAAGACTCAATGAGGCAAAAAACAGATTTACTTAAAGATGTACAGCCTGATGACCAAAGGAAACAACTGATGAAAACCAGAGAAGGGACTTTGCTAATTCAAGGTCTCAAGCTGTGAAAGTGTTTCACTAGATGTCTGGTTATCTCAAATACTCTCAACTTCAAGAAGAAATGCAAGCCCCATTTTCTCTCTTCAGCATTTAGCACTGTGGCTAGAAGTACATCCTGGTAACTTCTGAGTTGCTCAATTTCTTTATCCATAAAATATGTTGACAGTGATTTACACACACGCCACACACATGCACAGTGGAGACCTATACCCTTGCTGACACTGTTCATGTCCCTGTTTGGCATGCTGGAATTGCGATGTACATGACAATGCATTTCATAAAGCAGCATCTAATTGCTTTTCTTCACTCCACCCTGTCTAGACATGGAACTTTCAGTTCCTCTCCTCCTCAGTCCTCACCACAACTATGTGTGGCTGACTGATCACTCAACACTGCTATGAATTTACCTCTGTTCTTTAAATGCTCTGAGCATTTTAGGAAGCTCTGCACAGACTATTCCTGTAAAAGAAATGTATATGTTATACTGTTTTCAGGTTTTAATTCTGTGATCCTCTTGCCCTTACAAGCTTTCTGGCATCCATGTAAGGCTCTTGAGCTGCAAACCCCTTAATGTAAGGACTTGAACTGGTTTCTCATGATGCAATATCTACCAATATCATGCACACATGGGTATAGAACTTACAGGAAAGTACATCTTCTTTATAAAACAGGGAAAATTCCATTCACTTCAAAGTTGCTATAAGCATAAGATAATTTACATAAAGCAACTGGCATATTTCTACCACATGAGAGGTGTCCAGTAAATGTGGCTTCCCTCCTCTCTCATAAGTGTTCTTATAGACAATGACCTCATTACATTAGGGCTACAGTGAGAAGAGCTCAGGCAACAGAGGCTTAAAGGGCATCCCCACCAAGTTCTCCTGCAAGATCTGACATCTATTCATCCTGAAAAATGGATTTCTCATATTCCATTATCTGGATCTCTTGAACTTCACTGAATTTTAACACCAGTAGCTATCAAGTTGATTCTGATTCATGATGACCCCATGTGTGCAGAGCAGAATTGTGCTCTACAGGGGTTTTCAGATGTTGATTTTTTGGAAATAGACTACCAGGCCTTTTTTCCAAGACATTTCTAGGTAGACTCAAATCTCTAAACTTTTGGTTATCAGTTAAGTGTGTTAACTATTTGAACCATGCAGGGGCTCTAATTTTGACAACAGGTGCTCTCTACCCCAAATCAGCTCTAGAGAATCCATGAACATCTCCCCACTTCAACACACACTACTAAGAAAACACATTCCACGGTTCAATAGAGCTTGGTCCACCTGACCCTCTTGTTCATTGTTCTACACAACAGTGTTTCTCAACTTCCAATCCATGGGCACCCAAAACTATTTAATACAGAGATACTATTTGTGGCTTAAGTCCTATCTCCTTTCTTTCTCTATCCATGGAATATGTATAGGCAATTTAGAAAACAATCCTAAGAATAATTTGAGTGGAAAACATTGTGAAGTATTTGTTGTCCTTTAAAACACTGACTCATATCAACATTAAATAAAATGGAAAACCAAGAATTTAGTCAGTGCAGCCCGGAGTGTAAACAGCTTGGCCCACGTCCTATTTTCCCAGTTTCTTTGGATTCCTCCTGCTACAAAGTGGCATTCAAACTTTCATTCAAGAAGAGGTTTGTTTTTTTACTCCCTATCAAAACATGCCAATAACATTTTACAAACATATAAAGTCCTCTTCTTGTAGGGAAGTAAAGCCTTTTTCCAAAGGTTGACACTAAAACCCACATGTTTTGGCTATAACAATCCTACCAGTTTTTCTCAGGAGTTTTTTTACTGGGAGTAAAGCTTTTATAGGAGATGTCTCCAGATAAATCCTTAAGAAAAGCAATAGAGATGAATGGATAACCAAACTATGGTGCATTCACACAATGTAATACTATGCTACATACAAGAATAATGAAGAATACACTAATCATCTCACAACATGGATGAATTTGGAGGACATTATGCTGAGTGAAATAAGTCAATCACAAAAGGACAAATATT